TTCTGCAAGGCCTCATCTGCTATCTGCTTCAGGTTAATCAGCTTATCACCTCTATAAAAGGCATCTACAAAACAGTAAGTAAATCATTAAACTGGCTTGTCAGAATAGCCTGCAGGCACTTGAAGGTCGTTAAAAGAAAGGAAGGGTGGGGGAGGGAGAAGGACTGTAAGTGAAATTAAGTTAAGGGAAAGTTTCCTAAATAAAGACCAATGAAAATAATAATAGATGCCTCTAAGGAGCAGAGTGCTCAAATTAAGAGTGAAGCAATACTTGGAATATTCTTTAGGGAGCAACCAGAAAACTACATGACCCTAACAGCCCTTTGCCATGTATTAGTTCTTTGAGACAGTCATCATTGGGATAGATATATGGAGCAACTGGCAAGGGACTAATATGTAAGCTCTAGAAAAACAGTTTCTTAGAAAACTAAGAAGGTACACTTGAAACTACCAAGTTACTAGATATCATAAAACAGCTGCATTTTTTTCCTGCCATGTCAACCACTACCACCTCCAAAGGAACAATAAAAGCATTTTAAGGGAAGCTGATAAGCAATCTATTTCAAATACACATTGGTAATACACATCTGACAGAAGTAATCGAATATAGGGGTAGGATACTGTTTTGATACAACATCACCAATGACTACCAAGAGCTTCTATATAATATTTAATACAGTTTAATATTTAATAAGGTAGCACTGTACAAAAGGCATCATGAAGTTACTTGGATAAATTATTGGATACTGTGGTCTGTACTACTGTGTATAGATTGCTGTCAGCTGGATCGCACTGTGTAATCTTCATCATTTAATGTGTCATGTTAACACTTGTGCTTTGCTTCAGTTCTGTTTTTAGATTTCTGGTTGGTTCTACAACCCAATTCATATTTCGTTGTTTACTGAATGCTACATTTTGTGGATTGTATTGACTCAGTCCTTGTAATCTGCCTTGGGTCCACATGAGAAACGCAGACTATACATAATGTAAATAAATTAATACATTAACAGTAGAGAAGCTGGGTCAACAGAAGGTTTGGGGAGAGAAGCGCCACTTCGCACTTCAAGTCTGGAATGAGGGCAAAGGTGCCATCTTTTAATTATCCATTTCCTCCTTTCCAACACATGAATCCTTGAAGAATATAATTTCTCTAGCACTGGGAAGGATTCACTTCTCCCCAAAAGCAAAACTTTGCTTCATCAGAGTCCCACAAGTTGTATCAATGGCTTTCATTGTCTGAACTGTATAATGTTATGGACTTGAATGGCAGCCTGCTTCGGGAGCCAATCTGGGTGGAAAGCGGGGCTTAAACATTCTACCCAGCAGCAACTCCTTCCTCTAGGGTTCCCAGGTCCTACCAGGCAGCCAGCAGGGAGATCCTTGGTCCTCTCTGGGATCTTCTGCTGCAAGCGCTTTGCACTCACAGCATGATGACATCACCCAGAAGTGACGTCAAAATGTCGCTGATGTCAGGGACTGACGCTCTAGTTTTGGGGCAAACCGCTATGGTTTGTGGCTGATTTTACCATAGACTTTTGCCCAAAAACTAGAGCATCGCCGTGCAATGTCAGCAATGTGACGACATCACTTCAGGGTGACATCATCATGTTGGCTTTCGGGCCAGTTGGGGGTGGGATCCCCCCCCACCGACCACCAGCGGGGAAGCGCCCTGCAAAAGCAGGGGTTCCTCTGCCCCCGGCAGGAGTCTGACAACCCTACCTTCTTCTTCCCCTAAAGATAATAAGGTTGCCTGAATGTATTTTCCCCCATGAACTGTTAATCCAGCTGCTTGAAGTATTCTGATAACTAGACTTAGATGAAGGCTTTTTACCTGCAGTAATGAGAAGAGAACAGCGAGAATCAAGGATCCTCTCACAAAGGGATTCTGATGAAAAACCTGCGAACTGGCAAGACAACACAATTCAGTTCAGCCACTGAAATGAAGCCATTTTTAATTACACTTGCAAACAGGGACACTCTCAAAGAATACCAGCATTCCAGATTGAGTAGTGGCTTTCAAACTGTGTTCTGTGGTTTTCAAACTGTTTTAAGGTTTTTTGGAAGTTTTATCAGGCATTTCTCAATGCCAACCTCAGTAATGAAGGAAAAGATTCCCTGAAGGATTAACTGCTAGGACTCCCATTTACTTGCTCAAGGTGGGAAATTACCACCCCCCAGCCCCAATTTCCAACTCCTGAGGAATTGGGGGGAAATGGCTCTAGGAATTTCTGCTAGTCTCTATGTCAAAGGAATTAGGGATGCAGTCTAGCATCACCCAGAAGTGACATCACATCCTCCCCACACTCCACCTTCCCCAGGTGCCACCCCCCCCCCAAATCTTCCAGTATCTGCTCAGACATTTTTGGGAATGCTACTGCTTGCTCATATCTGTCAATCATCTCCTGCAACATGTAGCTTGGCCAGCACCCTTTATGTACCAGGCTGTGCACCTTAGAATACTCCCCAAAAGCCTCTGCAATGCTCAGGAGCTTTCTGACAGCCAGACACAGGTTCAGATAAGGCAACATGGGAAAGGTTCCCTAATGGTACCAAGTCTGAAAAAAAAAAAGGTTGCTTACATGTAACTGGTGATCTTTGAGTGGTCATCTGTGCATTAACACCCATGGGATGCACTGGATCGATCGGCATTGTAGCAAGCTTTTAATGGATTTTCGCGCCCAGACCTCGGGCATGCGCAGGAACCCCACCATGTATGCCCAGAGGGGTGGTCGTGGACCCCCCGCCAGTTCCTTCAAACCACCGCGAATCAACCCCTATGAAAAATGTAGAAGCTGACAGCAGCGGGGAAGGAGGGCGGGTGGTGTGAATGCACAGATGACCACTCGAAGATCACCAGTTACAGGTAAGCAACCTGTTTATCTTCGACGTGGTCTCTGTGCTTCACACCCATGGGAGATTAGTGAGCAGTAGCCTACCTGGAGGAGGGTGCTGGCAGGTCATTACTGCGAAGCCGAGAATAAGATGTGACGTCCCATGTTGGTATGAGAGTTCTTTCGGACATCTAGGATGTAGTGCCTTATGAACGTATTAGGCTTAGCCCACGTAGCGGCTCTGCAAATGTCCATTAAGGGAACTCCCTGGAGGAAGGCAGTTGAGGCTGCAACAGCTCGGGTTGAATGGCTGCTTAGCAATAAGGTAGCAGAGGCGGATGAGATCTACAATCCACCTTGACAAACGCTGAGCCGTGATGCGAGTTCCCAGCCTTGCTGGGGCATACGAAACGAACACTTGACAGTCACGTCTCGTTGGACGGGTTCTGTTTAGGTAGAATAGAAGTGCACGCTTCGTATCCAAGGTGTGTAACAGCCTCTCCTCTGGGGATGTCGGAACAGGGAAGAAATCCGGGAGGAAGACCTCTGCCTGTAGGTGAAATTCTGACACTACCTTCGGCAGGAACGAGATGTCAGGAACAAGGCGGACGCCATCTGGCAAAAAAGGAGTCACATGTCTGAAAGCCAGTATTTCTCCAACTCGCCTTGCTGAAGTGACAGCAACCAGAAAGGCTGTTTTCCAGGACAGGAATTTTATGTCGCAAGTTGCGAGCAGCTCAAAATGTTTCCTGGTGAGTTGGTGAAAGACCAGGGGAAGGTCCCAGGGGATGACAGGACTTTTGATGGGAGAGTAAAGGTGCAACAGTCCCTTCAAAAAACGTTTAGAAAGTGGATGCAAGAACAGTGTGCATCCCTCAACTTGAACATGGTATGCCGAAAGTGCGGCCAAATAAACCCTTAACGAGGAATGTGATAGTCCCAAGGCAGCGAGAGACAGGAGGAATTCGAAAACTTTCTCAGATCTGGAGGTGGCTCGAGAGGCATCCTCACCCAAGGAGGAACAACATTTTTGCCACTTGTAATGATACGACTTTCACGTAGTGGACTTTCTGGAGTTTAGCAAGACATTCGCTATGCAAGAAGAAAAGCTGTTGACTCTCCAAGCTGTCAACTTCATTCGTGGCACGTCGTGGTATAGGAGAGGGGACTTGGTTAGGAATAGGAGGTCTTTTGCTGGAGGAAACTGGTGGTAGGCCCTCGCTGACAGGTCGAGGATGGTTGAGAACCATGGTTGCCTCAGCCACCACGGGGTTATGAGAAAGCAGTCCGCTCTGTCGCTGGTGATTTTGTGGACCACTCTCAGAAGTAGTGGAGGGAAGAGGTAGAGAAATCCTCTGGACCACGGATAGAGGAGACCGTCCCCTAAAGACTGCGGGTCCCTGCCACCTCGGCTGCAGAACAGAGGACACTTTTTGTTTGCCCTGGTGGTGAACACATCTATCTGGGGGAACCCCCACTTGCAGAAGAGTGTAAGAAGGTAAGTCGGATTCATTTCCCACTCATGCAGACTGAGTCCTGCCCGACTCAGGTGGTCCGCCTGCACATTCATCTGCCCCGGGATGTGCGTGGCGACTAGGAAGATGTTGTGGGCGATGCAGAAGTCCCATAACCGGAGGGCGAGGTCACAGAGGCATTGGGAGACGGTGCCCCCTTGCTTGTTCACATAGCTGAGGGCAGTAGTATTGTCCGTGAGGACCGTGACACACTTCCCCTTGATCAGGGGTAGGAAACTGGTGACAGCGAACTGTATCGCAAGCAGTTCTAGAAAATTGATGTGTCGATTCTGTTTCTGTGCGTCCCATCTGCCTCCAACACAAAGTCCCATCATGTGGGCGCCCCTGCCCGAGAGGGAGGCGTCTGCAGTTAGGGTAATTTGTGGTGATGGAGGATGGAAGGGTGCTCCCTGGAATAGGTTGAAAGGGACGGTCCACCAAAGTAAAGAATCCCGTACTTTGATAGGTGGGATTAGGTGGGTGGAGTGTGTGTCTTGCTCTGGATTGAAATTGCAGATAAACCAGAGTTGCAGGTGACGCATTTTTAATTTGGCAAAAACCAGGACTGATGTAGTAGCAGCCATGAGGCTGAGTAGCCTTTGTATTTGGAAAGCCATCATTGAAGGCCGAGAACGTATGACAGTGGCTAGATTGATGATGTCCACTGCTCTGTTTTATGGCAGGTAGGCTGTGCAATTTGTGGAGCCCAGTAGCGCACCGATGTAGTGTATTTTCTGGACCGGTTGAAGTTGAGACTTCTCCAGATTTACTTGCAGACCCAAGTTTCCCAGGAGGGCTAGCGTCTCGATGTTTGAGGCTAGCACGTCCCTGGAACTCGCAACCAACAGCCAATCGTTGATGTACAGGTAGATGGAGATACCCTTTAGACGAAGGAAGGCTGCAACCACCACCATCGTCTTTGTGAAGAGACTCAATGCACACGAAAGGCCGAATGGTAGGGCTGCATATTGGTAGTGATGTTGACCAATTGCGAGGCGTAGGTATTGGTGGTGGGACGGGTGGATGGTGAGGTGGAAGTATGCATCTTGGAGGTCGAGGGTGGGCATCCAGACCTTCTGGAGAAGTGGCAGAATCTGCTGCAAGGATGCCATGCGGAAGCGGTGGTAGCTCACAAAGCAGTTTAGCGCCCATAGATCTAAAATTTGTTGAACGCCTCCATCTCGCTTTGGAACAGTGAAATAGTGGGAATAGAATCCCTCGCCCTGTAGATGCAGTGGCACCGGCTCGATGGCTCCCTTCTACAGAAGGACAGACACTTCTTCCAGGAGGGCTGGGGAAGGGGGTGTGGAGATGAAGACAGGAGTAATGGGGTTCTGAATGAATTCTATGCGGTAACCCTGGGTCAAGATGGACAGCACCCATTCGTCTGTGGTGATGAGGCGCCAAGTTTGGAGGAAGGGGGTTAGACGGGTTGGATGTGACTGGAAGACATGGGAGTCAAAAACCCTGCTTGGCGGACTTTGCCTGCTTACTGCGGGAGGACTGTTGTCCCAATCCAAATCTAGGTTTCTGAAATGTGGGCTTCTGGCCTCCAGAGGATGTACGTGGCCTCCATTGCCAGTCAGGAGATTGACGGTTTGGGGTGCGTTTTTGCCAGGGTCTAGACCAGGGACGAGGTCGGTATTGCTGCCTTGTGGATGAAGAAACACCCAGAGCATGAGAAGCTTTTATCCATATCTTGTAATATGGTGTCTGTGGGACTATTAAACAGACCAAGGCCATCGGAGAGGTCCTTTACGTATGATCTAGTATCTGGCTGTAGATTGGTGTTACGTAGCCAGGAATGTCTTCGGAGAGCTATGGCTGAAGCCATTGTCCTTGAGCTCCATGGACAATGCTCTAGGGCATGTTCAGAGGTATTAATTTGTTGTTTTGCCAGCACCATGTCCTCCTTTTGGATGATGTGGGCTGCCTGACGCTTATCTTCTGGAAGGTTTGCCAAGAGCTCGGAGAGCCTCTCCCACAAAGTGTATTGGTATCTACTCATACATGCTAAGTAGTTGGTGGTCTTCACCCCTAGTGCTCCAGTAGAGTAGAAATGTTGTCCAAATGCATCTAGCTTTCTGCTCTCCCTGTCTGAGGGGGCAGAATGGGTTCTTTTCGACTTGGATGAGGAAGTTACCACCACTGAATTTGGTTGAGGATGGGCAAATAAGAATTCTGCTCCTGTTTCTTGGACTCTGTACATATGGTCCAAGCGACGTGTGGACACTGGAGCCGATCACGGTTTATCCAATGGAGCTTTAGCTGCCTGTAACAGGACTGTGGACATGGGTAGTGCTATAGCCGTAGATGTATCTAGCTGCACGACATTGAAGACGGCATCTGTAACCTGTGGTTATACGACGGAAAGGCCAAGGGAGTGTGCCATTCTTTTCACGAGGTTTCCATAGGAGGTTAAATTCTCAGATGGAGAGATAGGTTGGTCATCGGCTACTACCTGGTTCGGCAAAGGCTGATCAGGGGAGCTGTGTACATCTGAAGCCCCCGTATCGGAATCCTCATCCACTGAGTCAGAGGAATGGGGCTCTGGTAATTGTACCTGAGCAGTTTTGATCTGACCAGTCGGATCTGTTGACGGTGGGTTAGGGGGACTGGGAGGACGATATTGATCCGGTCGATGTCGAGGAGGGTCATCAGATGGATGATCCGGAGGACGGGAGAGAGATGCTGAAGGCCTCGGTGACTGCGACCTGTGGGCAGAGTAATGATCCCAATCAGAGTAACCTGCAGGAGTCAACCACGGCATGGATGCGGGTGGATAAGCCCCATATAGATAACGCAGTTGGCGGTGATCCCAGGAGAGAGCCGGAGGTGGTGGGGGCAGGAAGACTCATGGGGATCTACTCCTAGAGCGGGAGCATCTGGGAGACAGTGTAGGATCTCGTCTTCGTGCGCGGCCCCTATCAGCCGATCATCGATATCGAAGGGCTGATCCTCAGCAAACAGACTGGGAGGATGATGTTGAGTGCTTTTAGGGATCTGTCGATGCTGATCCACATCGATATCGGCATGGAACTCTGAGACTGTCGAAGTCGATGAATGAGCAGAGGGAGAGCGATCTGTGCCCAGGGGATGACTGAGGATCTCGACATTATTGATGTCGGAGAAAGGACGCATATCGACCAGCGTGTCATGGTCTAGCTGGTGTATGGGAGAGTCCATTAGCTGGATGGTTGGTATCGGTGGAGCAACCGGAGCTTCCGATGCCGATACTGCCATTGGAGTGGGGGGCACCTTAGGGGCATCACCCGGTGCAGGGCCCACTACTTTCCCAGACTTCGCCACCTTTAGGGCCTTAGAGGAACCCTTTTTGGCCGACTTGTGTTCTTTACCCGATTTCTCCTTCTTCTTCATGGGAGTGGATGCTGAAGACTGCGCCGTCGGTGCCGAACGCTTCGATGTTGCCTGGACGATATCGGACGAGAACTTCGATACTGGAGCCATCGATGTCGATTGTCTTACCGGCACTTCTGGATCCATGACGGAAGCGGGATTTAGCGCCAATTCCAGTAACGCCACCCGGAGACATGCTGCTCGGTTTTTCCTAGTCTGATTTGAAAACTTGGCGCAGTGTCGACAGGACTCTAGCCGGTGTGTCTCGCAAAGACAAAAAATGCAAAGAGTGTGGCCGTCAGGTGGAGCGAGCTTACTGCTGCAACCCTTGCAACATTTGAAAAAGCCCCACTTATTCTCCATAAAATAAGCAAGACGGAGAAGAAAAAGAGGTGGCGGGGGAGGGGAAGCCCGAAGGCCAAAGTGAGGTAAACAAAAAAACTTCCCCCTCAACTCATCATAGTCTTTTTTTAAAAAAGAAAACAACAAAAAACAAAGATAGAAGCAAAAAATAAAGAAAACAGAAGAGAAATCCGAAGAGCCTCTGAGGAAAAATAGCTACCGATCAGACAGACGAAAGGAAGGTGCTTCCAGCGCAGCGGAAAGAAAGGAACTGGCGGGATGTCCGCGCCCACCCTTCTGGGCATGCATGGTGGGGTTCATGCGCATGCCCGAGGTCTGGGCGCGAAAATCCGTTAAGAGCTTGCTACAATGCCGATCGATCCAGCGCATGCGCACTGTATCCCACGGGTGTGAAGCACAGAGACCACATCGAAGATCAACAAACTACCCAACCACCTGAGGTTTGCCTCTGGACAAATGATTACTCTAGCACAGGGGTGGCTGAACAGCGGCTTGGAAGCCGCATGTGGCTCTTTCACACATATTGTGTGGCTCCTGGCAGGGTGGCTGCGGAAACGAAGGGGAGGCTTGCCTCCCCAATCGGTCTTCCCTTCCCCAGCCAGTGTTTCCCTCCCTAGGTAGACTTGAGGTGGGGGGGGAGAGAGCAGAGAAAGAAAGCAACTTTAAATATGTTCTCAAAGCTGCCCACCCGCCAGCTTGGAGAAGGCATTTGTCTCTTTGAATCCCTTCTCTAAGCCAAGCCAGCTGGCCTGGGGTGGGGGGGGGGGGCTTGGAGGACACATTTAAAGTTAAAGTTGCTTTCTTTCCACCTCTCCCTTCCTTCCTCCTGCCCCCCATCTATTTGCTTTCTTTCCACCACTTTCTTTCTTTTCACCTACCTTCCTTCCTTCTTCTCTCTCTTCCTTCCTGCCTTCCTCCCCCTCACAAATCTATTTGCTTTCTTTCTTTCTCTCTCTTACTTCCTCCCCGCCTCCCCCCCATCTATTTGCTTTCTTTCTTTCTATTTTTCTCTTTCTCTCCTTCTCTCTTTACATCTCTTTCATTCTTTCTACCTTTCTATTTCTCTCTCTCTTCCTTCTGTCCTTCCTTCCCCCTCCCTCCCCATCTATTTGCTTTCTTTGTTTCTTTCTTTCACTCTCTCTCTCTCTCTTCCTTCCTTCCTTCCTCCTCCTCCCTCCCCATCTATTTGCCTTCTTGGTCTTGCTCTCTCCCCCCCCACCTCTTTCATTCTTTCTTTCCACATCTCTCTCTTTCTCTCTCTTAAATAAATACCATTAGCAAACCCTCCCCCCATCTATTTGCTTTCTTTCTTTCTTTCGCTCTCTCTTCCTTCCTTCTCCTCCCTCCCCATCTATTTGCCTTCTTTGTCTCTCTCTCTCCCCCCCAACCTCTTTCATTCTTTCTTTCCACATCTCTCTCTTTCTCTCAGACAAATAAATACCATTAGCAAACAAATAAATATCATTGAATGAATAAATATCATTATCAATATCTGTTTTACCCCTTTTGGTTTTATTTTGGCAGTCTCATTTAATGTTAATAAAAAGCAAATTTACACATTTTCCAATAAATATTGGATGCCTTGCGGCTCTCAAACATCTGACATTTATTACAATCGGCTCAAGCCAAAAGGAAGATTCCATGCAGTAAACAAATAAAAACCCCAAACAAATCAAAGACATATAATATGGAGAAACCAGCATTATTCCAATAGTTATCTATGGCAACTGATGTCCATTTCACTATGCAATTCATGACAGAATTGACACCAAAAGTTCCTACCACAATGGAATGAAGAGCTCCAATTCTGGCACAGGCCAGCATAGCTATCACCAGTTCAATAATCATTGGCATGTAGATAGAAACTCTGTCTCCTTTTTTCACACCTATAGAAGAGAAGAGATGGTGTTTCTCAGGCAAGTCAATTGACACCATCCTAACCAACCAACCATGCTGTTCTGAGCCCCAGTATTTCTACAGAACGAATAAGTTAAAAACTCTTAAAAAGTCCACCACAAGGGGCTCTGCCTGGAAATGCAAATGAAGAGAAAACATGACGTGGAAATCTTCACACTGTTTTTGATATTTCAGAATCACAACAAAGTGTCAGCAAACTGAAGTGTCTCACCTGTAAAGTACTTTGCAAATACCAATGAATTAAAGCTAACAGCCCCAGTAGCAAACCATTAATATTACCCCTGCAACACAGCCAGGCTCCTCAGGGGCTTTCAAAATTGCCCACGGCTGCATTTTTCTATTTTAAACAGTTAAACAATACAGTATTATAAGCAAGGGTTCTTTCATTTGTCAGTTATAGACAACAACTGGCAGTGTTATTAACAGTTAAAACATTGGACTTTAAGCCAGGGAGACGTGGGTTCAAATCCTGCTTGCATAATGAAGCTCACTCATCCTCTCTCTCATGGCTGACCTCTCTCGCATGTTACAAAGATGCATTCTAGAGTTCAAAGCCTCCTAGGCCATGTTCAGGCCTGATTAAGATCAGGACCTTAAGAGCATGGGGAAAGCATGCTTCAGCCTCCCTCACGGCTCTGTTTCCCCAACATGAAATGGCCCCAGGAAGTCTCATTACTTGCCCTGCTGGAGAAACTTACATGTACTGATGGCTACACACACGTTTCCACACTGGGGCAAACAGTAGCTCCCAGAGGCTGTTTCAGGTCAGGAAAACAGCTTGGGGAAGAGGCTTAAGCACCTCCCTGTACACCACAGTCTCAACTAGACCCCTGGCACCTGTACACCTAGGAGGCAAACAGTATAGATTTCTCAGCACAGGGGTGATACAACCCCTCCATCCTGCCCCTGACAACATCTTGGCTACCACATTTTTTTCACAGTTTCTTCCCATTTTCACATATATCCATGAGTCAGAAAGGTGAAAAATACAAGAAAGCGACTGCTTTCTATGTCAGCATTGCTTTCACTGATATTCATCCACATATTTGTATCTTACTACATTTCTACTAAATGCAAATAGCTAAACTATCATGTAGTTGTAGTACAGTAGCTTAAGAAAATACCTCTAGGCTGTGTGCACAAATGGAAAATTCTTGTTTAAAAGCCTTAATTGTTTGCTCTTATATTATTCCCTTCTGTCCCTATGCCTCAAAGGCCTTTGTGTTTCATCATCTAGTTCTCTGCACCTCAGTCAATAAGGGCTACTCATTTTGTAGGCAAACTCAGTGCCAAATTTGCACAAAAATTAGACATACTTTTTATCAATTGCTAACTATGCTCTTATAGGAATAAACAGCTTTAAAGGGGGATTAGTTAGATTAATGGAGGATAGGTCTATCAGTGGCTACTAGCCATGGTGACTGAGGGGAACCTCCACAATCAGAGGCACTGTACCTCAGCCTCTATGCCCGATTGTTGGCCCTCCAGTGGAACTGATTGCCTGCTTTGTGAGACAGGATGCTGGACTAGATGGACCACTGGTCTGATCCATCAGGGCTCTTCTTATGTTCTTAACTATGCTGAGGTGTCCAAAACCCAAAAAAGGAATATTAATTTTTGAGATTACTAAATGTGTGAGAATCAAAAGCAGTAGCAAGGTGAATACTGTTAAATAAATTCAGAGTCTTGTCAGATTAAACACAAAAATTTAAGAACTGGATCAGGATTGTAGTATTTGCTGAGGGATAAATTGAAAGTAGTATGTTGTAACTCTGTTTTTTAAGGTTCAAGTGTCCAAAAGTAGTGGACAAATCTCAACAGGATACTGATTTAAAAGGCACACGGGCACACAAAACCCCTGTACAGTTCAGCACGTACTAGTAGTCAGCTTCCATTACTAAAATCAAGCATCTTCCTGACAGTATCATACCAGCTAAGACAATTAAAGTGGGAACCTAGTATCATAAGGTAAAAGGTAAAGGTTTCACTTTCCCTATGAGGAAAGGTTAAGGCGCTTAGGGCTCTTTAGCTTGGAGAAACGACGACTGAGGGGTGACATGATTGAGGTTTATAAGATTATGCATGGGAAAGAGCAGGTAGAGAAAGAGGTACTTTTCTCCCTTTCTCACAATACAAGAACCCGTGGGCACTCCATGAAATTGCTGAGCGGTCGGGTTAGAACAGATAAAAGGAAGTACTTCTTCACCCAAAGAGGGATTAACACTTGGAATTCACTGCCACAGGAAGTGGTGGCGGCTACAAGCATGGACGGCTTCAAAAGGGAATTAGATAAGCATATGGAGCAGAGGTCCATCAGTGGCTATTAGCCACAAGGTATAGCTAGGGGCTCTGGGGCAAGTGATGCTCTGTCATCTTGGTGCTTGGGGGGGGGGGGTCAACAGTGGGAGGGCTTCTAATGTCCTGGCCCCACTGGTGGACCTCCTGATGGCACTGGTATTTCTGGCCACTGTGGGATACAGAGTGTTGGACTGGATGGGCCTTTGGCCTGATCCAACATTGGCATCTCTTATGTTCTCTTATGTTCTTAAGGTTCCCTTGCTCGAAAGCCAGTCGAATCCGACTCTAGAGTTGCGGTGCTCATCTCCGTTTCACAGCCAAAGAGCCAGTGCTGTCCGAAGACGTTTCCGTGGTCATGTGGCCAGCATGACTAAACACCAAGGCGCACGGAACGCTGTTACCCTCCCACCAAAGTGGTACCTATTTATCTACTTGCAATTTCTTGCTTTCGAACTGCTATGTTGGCAGGAGCTGGAACTAGAGATGGGAGCTCACTCCATCATGCGGCACCCAGGTCTCGAACTGCTGAACTACTGACCTTCCACAGCCTGCAGTTCAGCGTCTTAACCACTTGAGCCACCGCAGCTCATAATCATAAAACCCAGCACATATCTGATGCTGAGTCACAAGGGTTCACAAGTGTTGGTTTTACCCCTAGATAGCTAAATAGAATCTATAATTACTCTGAGTTGGGAGAGGGGCATCACACAGGTCTGTAGAGACACTTGGAACACCTTTGAAAACACAGCATACGATCAGGGTCCACACCCCACCAGCCTCTTCGACTCCCTGCTGGGAAGGACAGGCACAGGCTCTACTGCCCAGAGCGCGTTTCCTTGGAGCACAGCACAAGGTCAGAAATAATCGCTCTGCCACCCCGCCTCAACGCCTGGGAGGAGGAAAGCAGGCCACCATGCTCTCTGGGATGTTCATGCGAGTAAGGCAGTGTGTGGACTCCCATTTTTACCTTGCTCCTGAAGAACATTGGCAAACTGGCAGACTTTACACAGCAATTCACTGTATGTGATCTTCATGTTATCCCCTGGTTCATTTCCTTCCCTAAAGGAAGTAACAAGAGATTAAATTATAAACTCAAAGTGCTTAAGGACAAATTTGTGATTTTACAATCTAGACAGTAAATAACATCTATATTTTCCTAAGGGTTACAAGTGACCAAAACCCACACACCACAAACAAGGACGTTTCTTAAATGATAACCTTTTCAGAAGGTGAAGCGGCTGACACTACCTTAAACACAAGCAAACATATTCTCAAAGGAGAAGAGAAAATGGCCTTTAATTTATGGATCTGCTTTGGGAAATTCATCCTAGATTTTCAGAACCAAATATATGTTATGGTATGAGGATCGATGGGGTACAGTTTCACAGGATTTTGAAGACAGACTGCAGGACCTTTTTCACCTATGGCCTACAGAAGCTGCTCGGCTGGTTTGGCAAGGACCTTCTACCACCATCTCAGCTCCCCCAATGCAAACATTTCCTGCTGCAATTCACACAAGCTACCAGACCAGCTGGCCACCTAAAGCTTCCCTATAACTAAGAGATAACAAACTATTAACACCAAGGAAGAAAGTAATAAATTGGCCACGTAAATCATGCAAAATGTACATAATGTACAAGGCACCATATCTTAGGTCAAGCTTATAAACAGCTTCCTATCTAGTCTTCTTAAATATAGGAAGCTGCCTTGTACTGCAACAGACCATTAATCCACCAAGGTCAGTATTGTCTATGCAAACTACCAGTAGCTGTCCAGAGTCTCAGGCATAGGTCTTTCATATCACCTACTACTAGATACTGGTAGAGAGCTTTTGTATTTGCCAAGTTTCCATAGTCTTCGGTTGAGCCCTTGTTTAGAAACAGATATGACTGCATCTTAAAAATGGCACTGTAGGTCCTGACCTGGAAAGCCCAGGCAAGCCCGATCTCATCAGATCTCAGAAGCTAAGCAGGGCTGACCCTGACAAGTTTTTGGATGGGAGACCTCCAAAGAATACCAAGGCTGGGAGACAGAGGCAGGTTACCAAGCCACTTCTCTGAATGTCCTCCATGTCCCAGTAGGAGTCACCAGAGGTCGCCATGCCTTCCAGGCATGGGCGCACGCACACACACACACACAATGCAAAAATACCCCCCCCCATGGCACTCTAGCACTGGAAAAGCCACAAAGAGGAGCATATTTCCTACAATGGTTAATAAGTTTTTTAGTTACAGCACAGCATAGGAGGGACAGGGCTACAGGCTGCTCAGCTACCTGACATGCAATTATCAATGGCTGCTTAGCAAGCTTCCTCCTGAAATGCTTTGGTGAGTCTATCTGCCATAAAGGATGACATTGTGGCTCCTGTAAGACATAATCTGAACCAGGGAAAAGAAAACAACCATGAGATATGGCAGAGAAAGCCACCAAAAATAAGAGGATGACTGAATTCCAGTGCACTGCCTATGGTGAGACGAACTAGCGAACAACAACAGAACTGAGAAAATTCAAAACTTTCATTTGGAAAGCTAGTGTCAAGACTAAAGGTTCACTGCTGCTAGCCTAAAAGGACACTAGAGGGTTCACTAAGCAAACTCTACATTTAGTTCATTGACAGTGCCACAACACTTTCTCTCCCCCCCCCCCATTCCTATAGAATAAAAATTTAGGATTATTGCTGAGGGCCACAAAACAAAGCAAACATGAACATTTGCATTAGTAACAGTGCCATAAGAACATAAGAGAAGCCAATGTTGGATCAGGCCAAAGGCCCATCCAGTCCAACACTCTGTCACACAGTGGCCAAAAATACCAGGTGCCATCAGGAGGTCCAGCAATGGGGCCAAGACACTAGAAGCCCTCACACTGTTGCTCCTCCACCAAGCATCAAGAATACAGTGCATCACTTGCCCCAGACTGAGAGTTCCTATCTATATATCTAATAGCCAAGTTGCCCTCTCCGTGCGGATACCTAAATCTGCACATCGGGGGCACTTGGGGGGCAAGGAGATTTTCCTGCACACTTGGAGCAGTCTCCAGGTGTGCAGAAAAATCTAAAAAGTTGACCGGAGCCAGGGGGTTAGGAGATCGGTGGGCCCGGCAGCTGGGAGCCGCTCAGGCCGCACCATTGGAGCCGGGAGGGGGGAGGATATCAGCGGACCCGGGGGGGGAGCGGGGGAGAAGGCTCACCTGTGGCTGCTTCCTCCTCCTCCGTGTGGAGCTCTTCCCCCCCCCCGCGCGAGTATCCCCCCCTTCTTGCCTATACCTAATGGCTACAGTCACTGATGGACCTCTGCTCCATATGTTTATCTAATTCCCTCTTGAAGCTGTCCATGCTTGTAGCCGTCTCCTGTGGTAGTAAATTCCATGTTAATCACTCTTTGGGTATCCATATCTTACAAGGAAGATTAAAAATGCAGCCCTGACCTGAATAGCTCAGGCAAGCCCGATTTCATCAGATTTTGGAAGCTAAGCAGGGCTGACTGGCAAGTACTGGGATGGGAGATCTCCAAGGAATACCAGGGCCAGGATACAGAGGCAGGTAATATAAGCCACAGGTAATATAAATGTCCTAGCCCCACTAGGGTTCGCCAGAAGTCACCATGACTTCCAGGCTCGTAAGCACATAAACACACACACAAAATACTCACCAAAAAAAAGCTAACACAACATTGAAATGGCAATAATTCCAAACAGTTGGTAGATTTTCCACAGTTCTAAGTAAATAACTGCAAAAATGCACAGGTGTTTGTTTCAGTTAGTTAATTACCTATCTCAGTCTACAGTGCCTACATATAAACTGCATTCTAATTTTGGAAGTGGCATGAACAAGACTACCCACTGGGAGTTGGAGGGGATTTTCATCTAAAAGGTGAAGTTTTAATGCATCAGAAGTTATCCGCTACCTCTACTTTCTGTTCAGGAGGCATTTTAGCCTTCTGAGCACAAAACAGAGACAGCAGATCATTTTTTTAAACAAAATCTGTAAAGAACATAATACAAAAAATCCTCAACCCCTCCTTATGCCACAGATACAAGTACAGGTAAAAACAGTTCTTCAATTTCTGTTCTTAAAGTAAACTTAAACAGCTGGGGAGGGGGGTTGTGCAATGGCCAAGTAAGACTGACATTTTCATTATGGTGGCCACGTTACCTGATCCATCCAAGATAACCTAACCTTCGGCAAAAATTCACAAGTTATCACAAGCCAAGAATCTTTCACTGGGGTGTTTATAACAAGCTGTTGCAGACCATGGCACAATAAATGAACAAAACAAGATATGACATGTCTTACGGTAAACATGTATAATTCAATGATCCCTTGCAAAAGGACTGTTAGAAATAACATGATAAAATCCTAAAAATTCTAAATCACTAGTTAAGTGGCAATATTCCAGGTTAGTCTGGCACCCAACCTAAGCACTAAGATGTCTTCATTTTAATTTATGTTCTGCTACACAACACAACAGCCGCCCTGAGCCTGTTCACAGGGAGAGCAGGGTACAATAAATAATAATAATAATAGCAGCAAATGCCTTGCCCAGCAGCACCTCACACTCCAAAACAGTCTATTTCAGGGGTGTCAAACTCATTTGTTACGATGGCCAGTTATAACATAAATGTCACTTTGTTGGGCTGGGCTATGTGCGCCATAAAATGTAATTCCAGGTACCGGAAATATAAACTTTATAAAGGACACAGGCAAGCCCAATTAACAATATTACTTTTTACTCAACATACAAACGAAAGCAATTGATTCCTAGCAGTGAAAGCAATTGATTTACTGGGAAACCCGCAAAAGCCCCAATGAAGACTAGGTTTTTTTCCAAGGGATACCATTAAAGGGGGAGTACCTTTTTTCATACATTCTAAAATTTGAAATGCTTCTTAAAGCATGGGGGGGGGGGTTCATACTCAAAAGGTATAGCACAAAAAAGTCCTCAAATGTTTTAACGTTTCCTATAGAAACATTGGGAAATATTGGCAAGCATTTTCTGAGCAAGGAAAAATCTTTTCCTAAAAAGCATTTCACTCATTCCAAATGTGTCATATGAAGAAGACTGGGGACTTCCTCAATTATTCCAATGAAAATATTGGGGAATTGGAAACAATGAAAAAACTTTGATTTTCTTTCGTTTTTAGAATGAATAAAATGGAAGACAAGATTTACTCATAATGTGTAGTACAAACTTCTTTATTTAAGACCGTCTACAGCATTAGATAATGATAAATCCCATAGATACTGTACACAAAATATTTTCAGGATTTTTTAAATATATAGTTTTGGTAACAATTAATATGCTATAATGTGTTTAATGTTCATCCATTAGAGTTCAATGTTTTCAATTACATTTAGCTTAATATCCAAACATAACGGCAATCCTACTGTTTGGGGGCAGTAGCCCCTCCCCTGCACTCCCCTGCTTCAGAGGGGGCTCGACTGGGGGAAACAGCGGCCTGACCAGGGGCTGTGGGGAAAGAGGCAAAGGCGAGGCCATGCCCAGGAATGTGCCCCAGTGGCATCAGAGCCCGGCAGGCCTCAAGCACACCTCAGAAGGGAGGTGGGATTTAAGGAGCAGCCTGCACCTGTGAACAGGCAAAAAAAGGAGGCTGATAGGAGCATGGGTCTCCTGGGGCCTGCGCAGGCCATCACAGCAGTCTCTTACAATCTCAGGGGAGGGTGTGGCAGGAGAGGGGAGAGCCCAGCCAGGGAGGCCACTGGCCCAGATTCCCTTCAATCACCGTGGGCCCACTCCTGAAAAGAAGGCATTGGGGGAGTTCAGGGTCAGTATGCCCTTGGACAATCCTCAATTAGGTTGGCCTAGGGAGAGCCAAAGAGGAAGGACCAGGCCACACCTTTGTAGCCAAAGGACTAGTACGAGGCTGGCAGGAGAGGGCTCAGGGTGCAGCTGAAACCCCCTTCCCTGCCTAAACTGAGTTCCCACCCTTACGCCTGCTAAAGAAAGGACACTGGAGGGTGTACTGGAGCCAGTTTGGTGTAATGCTTAAGTGTGTGGGCTCTAATCTGGGAGAACTGATTCCCCACTCCTCCACTTGCA